CTCTGACCCCTTTGACTTAGTACTTGGTGGCAAAACCCTTGTTGGCAATCACAGAGGTCAGATGTTTCTTGTAGTTGGCCACCAGGCTTGCACACATCTCAGGAGGGATTTTGACCCACTACTCTTTGCAGATACTCTCCAAATCATTAAGGTTTCGAGGCTGACGTTTGGCAACTCGAACCTTCAGCTCCTTCCACAGACTTTCCATGGGATAAAGGTCTGGAGACTGGCTAGGCCACTCCAGGACCATAACGTGCTCCTTCTTGAGCCATTACTTTGTTGCCTTGGCTGTGTGTTTTGGGTCATTGTCATGCTGGAATACCCACCCATGACCCATTTTCAATGCCCTGGCCTGGCTGAGGGAAGGAGGTTCTCACCCCAGATTTGACGGTACATGGCCCCGTTCAACGTCCCTTTGATGCGGTGCAGTTGTCCTGTCCCCTTGGCAGAAAAACATCCCCAAAGCATAATGTTTCCAGCTCCATGTTTGACGTTGAGAAACAGACCGAGGGAGACTTACAGGTTTTTTGTGTTTCTTCCATTAGCGAATAATCGCACCAACTGTTGTCACATTCTCACCAAGCTGCTTGGCGATGGTCTTGTAGCCCATTCCAGCCTTGTGTAGGTCTACAATCTTGTCCCTGACATCCTTGGACAGCTCTTTGGTCTTGGCCATGGTGGAGAGTTTGGAATCTGATTGATTGATTATGTGGACAGGTGTCTTTTATACAGGTAACACGCTGAGATTAGGAGCACTCCATTTAAGAGAGTGCTCCTAATCTCAGCTCGTTACCTGTACAGGGAGTGCAGAATTATTAGGCAAGTTGTATTTTTGAGGATTAATTTTATTATTGAACAACAACCATGTTCTCAATGAACCCAAAAAACTCATTAATATCAAAGCTGAATATTTTTGGAAGTAGTTTTTAGTTTGTTTTTAGCTATAGCTATGTTAGGGGGGTATCTGTGTGTGCAGGTGACTATTACTGTGCATAATTATTAGGCAACTTAACAAAAACAAATATATACCCATTTCAATTATTTATTATTACCAGTGAAACCAATATAACATCTCAACATTCACAAATATACATTTCTGACATTCAAAAACAAAACAAAACAAATCAGTGACCAATATAGCCACCTTTCTTTGCAAGGACACTCAAAAGCCTGCCATCCATGGATTCTGTCAGTGTTTTGATCTGTTCACCATCAACATTGCGTGCAGCAACAACCACAGCCTCCCAGACACTGTTCAGAGAGGTGTACTGTTTTCCCTCCTTGTAAATCTCACGTTTGATGATGGACCACAGGTTCTCAATGGGGTTCAGATCAGGTGAACAAGGAGGCCATGTCATTAGATTTTCTTCTTTTATACCCTTTCTTGCCAGCCACGCTGTGGAGTACTTGGACGCGTGTGATGGAACATTGTCCTGCATGAAAATCATGTTTTTCTTGAAGGATGCAGACTTCTTCCTGTACCACTGCTTGAAGAAGGTGTCTTCCAGGAACTGGGAGTTGAGCTTGACTCCATCCTCAACCCGAAAAGGCCCCACAAGCTCATCTTTGATAATACCAGCCCAAACCAGTACTCCACCTCCACCTTGCTGGCGTCTGAGTCGGACTGGAGCTCTCTGCCCTTTACCAATCCAGCCACGGGCCCATCCATCTGGCCCATCAAGACTCACTCTCATTTCATCAGTCCATAAAACCTTAGAAAAATCAGTCTTGAGATCTTTCTTGGCCCAGTCTTGACGTTTCAGCTTGTGTGTCTTGTTCAGTGGTGGTCGTCTTTCAGCCTTTCTTACCTTGGCCATGTCTCTGAGTATTGCACACCTTGTGCTTTTGGGCACTCCAGTGATGTTGCAGCTCTGAAATATGGCCAAACTGGTGGCAAGTGGCATCGTGGCAGCTGCACGCTTGACTTTTCTCAGTTCATGGGCAGTTATTTTGCGCCTTGGTTTTTCCACACGCTTCTTGCGACCCTGTTGACTATTTTGAATGAAACGCTTGATTGTTCGATGATCACGCTTCAGAAGCTTTGCAATTTTAAGAGTGCTGCATCCCTCTGCAAGATATCTCACTATTTTTTACTTTTCTGAGCCTGTCAAGTCCTTCTTTTGACCCATTTTGCCAAAGGAAAGGAAGTTGCCTAATAATTATGCACACCTGATATAGGGTGTTGATGTCATTAGACCACACCCCTTCTCATTACAAAGATGCACATCACCTAATATGCTTAATTGGTAGTAGGCTTTCGAGCCTATACAGCTTGGAGTAAGACAACATGCATAAATAGGATGATGTGGTCAAAATACTCATTTGCCTAATAATTCTGCACTCCCTGTATATGCAACAGTTGTCTGCAGTTTAAGATTTACGACAGGACACTACTTTGACACAGAACACAGCATCTCACAGCAGCACAGGTGTTGTGGTCGTGATTTAAATATGAATATTACTTTTTTAATATATAATAATTAAGCAATAAGGAACAACATTAATATTTTTTATATTTTGTGGTATTATGGTCCAATATGTGGATAGAAAATACACAAAACATTGCAATATTACATTTATATTTAATATAACTATAATAAATAAACAGATGCTAGCAGAATGTCAATTTACTACAATAATTATACAATACAAAACTATGACATATTACTTACAAAAGGCTATAACAGTTACTAAATGTTATAATGGTTTCACATGGTACAATTCAAAACATGAACAAACTTACACAGGCCACAGCCTGTGGAGCTGGGGCCATCAGCTGCTACATTCCTAGACAGTCAAGGGCAGAACCAAAGAGCGAGACTGACTGGTTCAAAAGAGACCTGAATGCCTCCTACAATCTGTTTTTTATTCAGTGTAAGTAGCTGGCCTGTGATGTCACTGCCAGAAGCACATGGATTCCTTCACACTGCCCCTAGTGGTGCCTCCAAAGCATTACACTAACTATGCTTTCCTTATGATGTAAAGCCATTAATTCATAAATACCATTACAACAGCGTAAAGTAATAAAAACTTTGTCTGACAGTAGAATCACACTGAATTAACTCTTTCACTGCTAGCTACAATCCTCATAGGCAAGATATCCTATTATATTGCAAATTTTACAACTACAATAATTCTCATACCAGATCATTCACCATTCCTATGTCCATCCAATAAGAATAATTCCAACAAGATTTTACGTTTGCAGAATTATAACTTCCTTAATTAAGATTCACTATTTCTAAATTACATAAGCTAATATATTTGGATAATTGCCTGGTATTCTATTTTTAAAGTTAAAAGTAATATAGAGTTCATTGGTCCACCTGCAGGAATGGAATTCCAAATTCTATATATTATTAACAAATTATGACTCCTTAATGTTTGGAATTACCATCTTTTATCCAAGTATATTCTGCCTTTTACTAAAATCAATTAATTTAATTAAATAAAACAAGCATATTTACCAGTTCAGTTGTAGATTTTCTGTCAGATGTGTAGATATGTTCCAAGCATTTTGAATGCAAGTATGATGAGAGAATTGTATGAAAATAGAGTTCTGAAGCTGTGTTAATTGGAAAAAAAACCTTAAAATGAGGTGTGTCCAGCTTTGGCTCCAGATGTCAGACCTTAGATGTTAGGTGTGAGTTTGAGTGATTCTAAGAGTATTTTTTTTTTTTAGTGTAAGAGTCTCAGTGTTTTAGAGTAAGAGTCTTGAATCCAGTCCAAGAGTCAGAATCATAGGCGTGCGCACGGGGTGTGCCGGGTGTGCCTGGGCACACCCTAATCCCTGTGGCACGCCTATGGTTTGAGTCCTGCAGGAACAGCGTTCCTGCACTATTTTTGAGCAGGAACACTGGTCCTGCAGACACTCAGCGCCCCCTGTCTCACCTCTTGCCCCTGTCATGGGGGGGGGGCAAGAGGTGATGGATCCCCCCCCCTCTCCAGCTCAGCCACGGCGAGAGAGCTGTCTGCTCTCTGCTTCCCCTAGCCGCGCGCTGATGCCTGGGAGCCGGAATATGATGTCATATTCCGGCTCCCAGCTACTGTAGACAGCCCGTGCGGCAAGAGGGAGCAGACAGCTCCCTCGCCGCGGCTGAGCTGGAGAGAGGTGCCCGCCCCACTGGACCCCAGGGAAAAGTCCACGCCAGCACTCCAGGTAGGAGGCTGGGTGGACATTTTTTTTTAATTAAAATATAATAATTTGTTCTTGTGTGTGAGTGTGTCTGTGTGTGAGTGTGTGTGTGTCTGTGTGTGAGTGTGTGGGTGTGTGTGTGTGAGTGTATGTGAGTGTGTGTGTGTGTCTGTGTGTGAGTGTGTGTCTGTGAGTGTGTGTCTGTGTGAGTGTGTGTCTGTGAATGTGTGTGTGTGTCTGTGTGTGTATGTATGTGTGTGTCTGAATGTGTCTGTGAGTGTGTGTGATCTACCTCACCGTCCCACAGCAGCATGGAGGGAGGTAGGAGAGGACCCAGGGAGCTCTAGACAGAAGCTCTGCCAGGTTCCTCTCGCGATATCTGAGCGTTGCTGCGGCAACGCTCAGATCTCACGAGTGTTAACTCTAGTCCCGCAGGCTAGAGTTCATTCTCCACTGGACCACCAGAGATGGCACATGGCAGCAAGGATTTACTAATCTGCCAAATCCATCCAAACATACAGCACACACACATACAGCACCTACACACATACACCTACACACATACAGCTCAAACACACACAGTACACTAACCGCACCCTCACAAACACACACAAAAAACCACAACACCCTCACACACAGCACACTAACAACACCCTCACAAACACACACACACACACACACAAACAGCACCCTCACAAATACATGACACTCACACAAACAGCACCCTCACAGGACAAAGATACACACACAAACACCCTCACACACAAACAGCACAGTCACAAACACACACACACACACAAACACCCTCACATCACACTAACAGCACCCTCACACACACATCACACTCACCGCACACAGCACACTAACAGCACACACAGCAGTGTATGTGTGTGTGTGTGTATGTATCTATATATATATATATATAGATACATGTGTGTGTGTGTGTATGTATCTATATATATATATATATAGATACATACACACACACACACACGCGGCGTGTGTTTGTGCTCTAGGGTGCACACCCTAATGCGGCTGCGCACGCCTATGGTCAGAATGTCCATCCTCTTTTCCCTTTGTCCTTCATTTTTAAAGGACTAGTTCCCTACACGTCACTAGTTAATAGTAACCAATAGCGAACTGTGGGCGTGTCTTCCCTACAGACTATCATCTAGATTTTGGTCAGTAGATGGCGCAATTACATAACTGAAAGTTCTCGTCAGGGGGACAATTTACCTTTTTGTATAATGTGTTAACTGAATTTCGTGATGCATTTAACATCATCTGGTTATCTTTTTTTGGCTACTATTTGTCACAGAAGCTGTCATTTTCAAAGCGTTTTGGTTGGTTTTTACTAGACAGAGTGTCTGCATTTTAGTGTCATTTTAGAATTGGCACATGTAGCCTTAATCTCACCTTACCTTACAATGCAACGTTGTAACATTTCAATAGTTTTTAGAAAACAAAATTAATTACTTAGCGTTATCTGTCATTAGGTGTCTGGTTTTCTTACGTGAAACTGTAGTTAAGATTACACATATTCCACTAACATTAGTAAATAATATGATATTTTGTCATTGATATTATATCCATGAATATTCTATATTATTAACATAGTAGTATTTATATAATATAGTATAGTAAGTTATATGTGGATAGTGTGTGTATGTGTATAGATAAATATATATATACATATATATATGTACACACATTTGTCTCTGGGTTGTAGCATATTCCCTCCTCCCCCTCCTCCTTGCTATATACATCCCAGATTTTATCTCTGCCAAATGTTTACATATGTCACATTCCTTAGCTCAGAGGTGAATGCATAGAGTTACAAAGAGAGAAATGTGTGTCTGTCTTAGCCTTGTAATACAAAATGGAGTCACCTCTGTTCTGATGGTGACTTACAGTATACACTTTTAATTTCTGTCGTAACACAAAATGTCTACCAGTATAAATATACTGACATTATGTTGAGTTGACATATGTAGAAAGGTCATCGATACTACAGCAAAAATTCATCATCTGAGCAGTTATGTTGCCAATAGAAATGTCTCTGTCTACATGGAACCTTTGTGGAGACAGAGACCTTATTCCTGAATGGTTGAACAATTGACTTGATAGAGTGTTTTTTCTTTTTATTATTGTGTATCTTGTGTTTTTGCTACCCATTCACTACTCGCTTCTCGAGACGTCTTGTGTATACCAAACTGTTGAACAGTCATAAATTCATATGACCAATTTAGATCTACTTTTACTGTTGGTATCTGGGTCTTTTTCCATAGTCTAGAGATTAGTAAATTGGCAGATATTAAGTTATGGTAAAGGATGAATCGGGTTCGTTTTGGGAGGCCCTCTGGCAGCATGAACAAAAGACAGACCATTGGGTTATCTATCTGAGGTGTGGGTAATATTTTTTGCAAGAAGTTTCTGTTGTTGGTCCAGAAGTGTTGGAGTTTGTGGCATGACCACCAAACGTGGAGCATAGTGCTCCCTGCTCGCCCACACCTCCAACAAATGTAACTGGATGAAAGCCACATTCTGTGTATTTTATCTGGCACTAAGTACCAGCGGTATGGGATTTTGCGCTGGAGTTCCAGGTGGGAGACACAGGCAGTGAAACTTTTGTGGGTTGTGACTGCCTTCTCCCATTCCCGGTCATCTATGGTGTATTCTAGCTCCCTGTGCCATGCACGGTTGATTGTTTCTAGCGTGTGTTTTGTTTCCCTGTTCAACAGGGTGTACCCCTGATACATAAAGCTAGTGCAAACTTCCTCAAAATTTAGACATTTTCTTTGGATTAGTGGGGTCTGGTGGTGTGCATAGTTTGTCCATCAAGAATGATTTTAGTAGGAGGTATGAGAAAAGAGCCCTGTGGGGTAGGTCGTATTGGGCCAGGACCTTGGGGAAGGACAACAGGTGGCCTCTGTTAAAGACTAGATATACATAGTGTATTCCTTGCTCTGCCCATGTTTGCCATGTAAATGTCGGAATCGGGTATCCAATTGTTTGTATAAGTGTGGCTAGTCATATCCGAGGTTCCAACACAAATCTAACCCTCACTGGAACAGGGTCTATGTGCTAGCTAGTACATTGGAAAGGGGTGGTCTGGAAAGTTTTGACATCCAAAACAGTAATTTTGGGGGTGACCAGTAGAATTCCACCCTGATCCATTGGGGAGCTGTAGAAGGTTGGTTGAGTTGTGCTATATTGTGTAGAAAGACTGCTCTGTGATAGGTTGTTTGAGAAGTTTCGATACTACCCTTACTTTTTTCTCCTCCCAGATAAAGGATACTAGAATGCGTTGCAGATTCTTCAGGTATTGTTATAGTAAAGATATTTGCAGCGTTCTAAAGAAGTATTGGACTTTAGTTATGAGCGTCATTTTTACTGCTGCTATACGTCCCAGCCAGGATAGGTAGTGGCCCCTCTACAACTTGAGTGTCTTTGTAAATTCCTTTAGCAACCGAACATAGTTTTCTTGGAATAGGCAGGTATGATTTTTTGTAAGTTTGAGACCCAAGAAGGTCAAGTGATCGTTTCGCCAGTCCAGAGTGAATGCTCCCTGCAATCTAGTTATTAAGTCTTTCTCTATGTGGATACTGAGAAGTAGGTTTTTTTTTGTGATGTTCTGTTTGTTGTATAATATGGCACCATATGTGTTCATTTGTGCCATTAGGTTTGGCAAGGATGTGAGGGTTTGCGTTACTGTCACTAGGACATCGTCCGCAAAAAGGTTGAGTTTGTATTCTCTGTTGCCAAGAGAGATGCCATGAATGGATGGGTCTGCTCTAATGGTAGCCACCAGGGGCTCTAAGGCCAATACATATAGCAAGGGTGACACCACTGCCTGGAACTGTTCATAATGCAAATTTGTTTTGAGATAAACCCAGAGTTGAAGGATCTTACTGTGGGGCATAAATAGAGTACATGAACTGCATTGATGTTGGATAGTGGGGATTAGTATTTACTTAGTACCGCATCCAGGAAAAGCCACTTGAGGTGATATAATGCCTTTTCAGCGTCCAGAGAGATCAAAATACCTCCCTGTTCAGTTTTGCGCAGGCTGTGCATCAGGCTGATGACTTTCCGCGTGTTGTCTGACCCTTGCCAGTTTTGAGTGAATCCCACCTGATCATCATGGATCAGGGAAGGGAGGATTTTGTTTAGTCGTGTTGCCTTAATTTTTGCATATCATTTGGTGTCCTTGTTTAGGAGTGAAATTGGATGGTAGTTTTGGCTTCACGTGTGTGGTTTTCCCAGTTTGGGCAGTATGACAATGTGGGGCATTTTGCATGTCCTTTGGTATATCTGCTTTAATGATCATGGATTTGAATAGTGGGCCAGGTGGGGTGCTAGATTGGGGCAACCTTTTTGTAGTAGGTATTGGTGAGCCCATCTGGTCCTGGGTCTTTTTTTGCCGGGAGGCGAGAGATAGTGTGGAGAACCTCCTCTGTAACAGGAGCTTGTAGAGTGTCAATTTACTCATGGGATAGGGTCGGTAGAGACACCTTCTGAGGTATTCCTCAATTTGTGCGGGTGATGGCTGGGCTGTTACTGGGTCATTAACTAAGTTGTAGAGGGACTCATAATATTCTGCGAAGACATCACTAATGTCCTTGGGGGTCACTTTCTTCTCTCCGGATTGTGATGCAGGTACTTTTAATGTTGTGGCTGGTCAATGTAGATTCACCACTACCACTTTCATCAATTTGGTGAAACACTACAGAGCTGATGACAAACTAAAAGGTACACTGATACATTGCCACTTTCTCTTTTTTCAGAGGTGTAGAAATTGTTGATAATCTGGATACATTGGAGTTATACAATATGCATCCTTTATTTCCATTTTGACCATCCACTTATTTTGTTTAAATAAATAAGACAATGGACTCCTTCCATTTTTAATTATTGTAGAGAACCCATTGATTGAGAAACTTTAATCTGATGCCTTTCTTCTTCTTTCTTGCCAACTTGGAATATATTGCTCATGAATCCTGGAAAGTGTAGGGGAACCTCTTTCTTGAAAATCAATTCTTAAATTTTCGTGTCCACTAATTCTTTCTTATTTGAAAAACAGCAAAGAGGTTAGTAAACTTACCTGGATTGGCTACTCGTAAAAGTCTTTCTTGCATCATTTGACTGTATTTAGAATCCATGCATCTGAAGTGAATTATATTCCATTGGAGGAGTAAAAGCCTTTAAATCATTGTTGGTATTTCAAGGTTCAGCCACAAGAGTAGATTCTGCCTCTTCCAGTTTTCCCAGAAATTTTAGGATGAAACACCTTCTTTACAGATTGTTGTGCTCTATCTAAAGAGGAGAACACTCCTACATATTTACCAATGTTTTCGATAAACTTATCTCCAATAACCATCCCATTAGCAGAGGTCTCTGGTTCCTCTGGTGCCATGTGAATTACTTGAGTGTCTAATTTTAGCAAAATCACTCTACATTTTTTGAGGACATATTAGCATTTTAGCATTCCCTAACAAGCATATAGCTCTATGTATGCAGTGATATAAAATATGAATGTCACCTGGTTTGCCTGTATTAAAAACTCTGTCTGGTCAAACATTTTAACCAAAGGTCCAAGAATGTCTAAATTCTGTTCTTGGCAATTTTTCATTGATCAATCTTTTCCTTCCTTAGAATCTTGGACAGATTTTTTTGGACAGATCCAATTTTGGAGTTCAACAGTTTATTAGGAAGAATAGGTCTACTTTCATTTTATTATGAGTCTTGTCAAAGGTTTTCTAATCCAATGCTCTACAAACATGGATAGTGCCTGATATCAGGGCCACCATCAGAGGGTGACAACCATAATGGTTGTCACGGGCCCAGTGATCCTGGGGGGCCCAGACTGCTTTGGCAGTCCAGGGCCCCACAATTACTCTCTGCACCTATATATAGCGATGATCGCTATATATAGTTGCAGTCGCGGGCCCCCCCTGCTCCCTATACTTGCAGAGGGGGCCCAGCGGACTGCAGCTGTACTTTACAGC